CCAGCCTTCTGGTTAGCAGTCAAGTGCTTTAGCCACTATGCTACCAGAGCTCCTAATTTGTTGCAATAGCCACGCAAAAGTCACAGATAATATTCACAAGCATAGGGTTTATTAGGGAAGTGATAGGTTACAATTCAGTATCAGGAACAACTCAAGATACAGATCTTCAGTCAGTACAACTTCTTAGCCATGCCACAGATGTGCTTCTCTCTGGCCTTGGACTCTGCCCTGCTCAGGCCAGTGTTACAAAGCTCTTTCAGCTTTCCATATAGGTGCCCAAAGAGTCAGCACATGTTGCCAGTAAGCCGCCCACCCAAAGGCACTCAGTTTTCTTGCTCTGTGGGCTGGAAATCCCACCATTCTGTCTCATGCCAGTCTGTTGGTCTGCTGCCTCTGCAGTTGCGGTTTTTCTGCTTTCTCTCTGCTATCTCTCAGTTGTCTCAGCAGTGCTACAGCTCTCTCTGTCTCCTGGGTTGAGGAGGTCCAGAGTAGGGATCGCAGGTCCAAGGATGCATACCACTCCTGGCTCTTCTCTCTTTATGGTAGTGAAATACCTCTTTTCTGCCTCTGGGATGGCTCATTTTAAGTCTTGTTGTTGTTGTTATGTGCCATCGTGTCAGACCCAACTTAAGTATAGCAATGGCAAAACTGACCAATCCCCACCTTATTTCCATCGTTCCAACCCCACAAAGGTGCCTTGTACCTTATTTACATTATTAGCAAGCTGTCCATTCCCCTTGGTGGACCACCTAACATTTGCATAGTCCTACATCTGGTGGCATAGTGCCTAAGGCAGTTGATTGCTAAACAGAAGGCTGGCAGTTCAAACCCACCATCTACTTCTTTGAAGGCAAATTGGGCAATCTACTTCTGTAGTGATACCACCTCAGAAACCCAAGGAGGGGTTGCTATGAGTCAAATCTGACTCTATGGCAGTGAGATAGGTTTGGTTTTTGATACCCAGTTATTTGGTGGAAGTTACAAAGACCATGGCTAGAAGTACTGTGTTAAATAATAAATTGTGTCACATATGCCTGCTTGTTTAGTCAGATGGCAAGATGAAAACATTGGTGGTCTAACCAGATCTGACAAGAATATGGTCCCCAAATTTTGAAATTGTCAAAGAGATTATTTGGAGTATGGATTTACATCCACTGTCATAATGGTATAAACCTAATCCTATGTAAACACTGTGTCTTGTTTCAGAATTAGCTAATGTGTTAAGGATTAATTATTTAAAAAAATATTTTTGTTTCTTTGTTCCTCTTCTTTCTGATTCTCCATTTCTGTATTTGTTTAAAAATAGCCCTAATATATTTATCCATTAGTATATCTCTTTATAAATTATAACAAATATACATATATTGTCTTTATATGTTGAAAAAGTTTTTACTTGAGAGTAGTGTCATACAAAAAAGGGTGTGGGTTTTTCTCAATGGGCCAGCTAGCTTCACCATGTCACACTGCTCTCACATGACTGGCTGACCCCAGATCCTTCTCAGGAATGTGTGTTATTAGACACCATGGTAATAGCGCAACTGGGAGGGGATGAGTTGTTAAAAATCCATCATCAATGTTGAGTTAGAAATGAACTTAGATCACACATCCTTCTGAGGTCAAGGCATGTTTTGCTTATAGAAAAGACAACACTAGCAGATTTTTAAACAATACCTATTATAGGTATTACATGAGTATGGAGTTGTTCGTATGTTTAGAAGTGAATAATGACCAAAAAAAAAAAAAAAAAAAAAAAAACCCAAACCCAAAAAACTAGAATCTACTATGTGGCAATCACTTTATTAGTTATTTTAATCTCACAATAATCCAATCTTCATTGTACAAGGAAAGGTATAACCAGAGAGCCTAAGTGACATACGGAAGAGCAGTATAGAACCAGGGTGCAAATCCAGATAATTGGTATTAGCTGATGTAGTGATGTTTAGGAGACAAGAATACATTTGCATATCATGAAGTCACCTAATAATTAGGAGGTATTGACAATTTCTAGACAGGGAAGGCTAAGCAATAGCAGATTCTGTGCCTTTAGAGGGAAAGCAAAATGTTAACTCTGAGACCTGGGGCTGGAATCTTCATTTCATCTTTCTGTTTTAGGTGGTGAGAAGCAAACCAATATTGGACACTTTTGGTTGAAGTTATTGACACTGTATCATTTTCTCAAGTGAAAGTTCTGCACTTTTACATGAGCAAGAGGTTCCTCTGTGGAGCTTTGCCAGTATTTTTTTCCCAAGGTTCTCTGTGGAGCATCAAATATCGACCTAAAGTACAATAAATGCTCATTTTTCTCTGTTGACAGGACCATCGCCAACTATTTGGTATGGAGGATGGTTTATTCCAGAATTCCAAACCTTAGCAGGCGCTTTCAATATAGGTGGCTGGAATTCTCCAGGGTAAGTTTAAGGGTGTGGCAATGTTGCATCACTGGATCACTTTACATACTAGAACAATCTGTATATCAAATGATCCAAGGGAAATCATCTTGAGGTATTGGAGAGAGGGAGTTTGGCAGGCTAAGCTCTATGTGTGTTTGTTTGTTTTTGCTTTCTTTCCACTGAGGTATTATTTACATATAGTAAGGTATACTCCCAGCCACTCCTCGGAAGGAAGGTTGGGCAATCCTACTTCTGTAATGATACTGCCTTGGAAACCCAAGGAGGGGTCACTATGAGGCGGGGCCGACCCGATGGCACATAACAACAACAACAACAAGGTATACTCAAGCTCGACTTTGATGGGACAATATATTTAGGGCCATCCTATTGCTATCAAACTCCCTCTTAACTTATTTCCATTTCTTGTAAGCATTTATAACTGGGTTACTGTGTTATATTTCTTAGTGTTATACTTGTAGCTATCCTTTCTTTTCAGTATTCTGAATATTCAAAAATGTACATGATAATATGTAATAGATGGTAGTTTCATCTTTACTTTTAAGGTAGAGGTTTGTCTTTAACTCTGCCTAGGTCTGTGAGTCTGTCCTAACTCTGGTAGGTCAACTCGTCCTAAACTTAGCCTGCTCAGAGACCTCGCTCACTTGCCTGAAATGCTTTTCTTCACTCCCCTCACCTGGCTCTGGATCTTTGCTTTTCTACCGTTCTTGTTCTCCTCTTACTTTACATAGATGATACTCTCTTTTTCCCTTTGTTTTTGAGGCTTGTGTCTGAATAATTATCCGATGTCCACCACTAGAGGGCTTAAGGATTTTGTGACTTATTTTTTGGGTGATATTTTATTTTCAATTTAAAATTAAGCAAATGGTGAATATTATTAGCTATGATTTCATTGAACAGATGTTTTCAAGAGAATTTTAGTGGGTCATTACTCTTAAGGAGTAACCTGGTCATTTTTAATATATTTTGTCCTATAAAATCATGAGACTATTAAGCTTTATAAACAACAGCACAAAATGAACTACAAACGTTTAGGCTATATCAAAGAGTTAAGCTGGAAAAAAGTAGATTTTATGTGCGTGTGTGTGTGTATTTTTAACTCTTATGGATCATATAAAAGATTGTATCCAGCTGCTTTCCACCCTCACTGTAAAGAGAATAAGAGAGAGAGGTGTAAGAAGTAGTGTGAGAAAATTTGAGGATAGGTAAGAGGGGATGTTTCTTGAGTGTGAAATGCTAAATATGATATCAAATTGCCAAAGAGGGTTGTAGAATCTCTTTCTCTAGAGGTTTTAAAAATAGATTTATTTCTTAGCTACGAGAGGGGTTGTGCTACCAGAAAGTAGAGGAAGAATAGATGAACTTCAGTGTGAATTTCATTTGCTCTGTACAAAGAGCCTCTGTGTAAAATTGTGCAAGGAACTCTGGTGGTGTAGTGGTTCAGGCATTCAGCTGCTAAGGCATAAGGCTGGCAGTTCAAAACCACCAGCTGTTCTATGGGAGAAAGATGAGTCAGTCTGCTTCCATAAAGATTTATAGCCTTGGAAACCCTATAGGGCAGTTCTACTCTGTCCTGTAGGGTCACTCTGAGTTGAAATGAACTTGATGGCAGTGCGTTAAAATTGTGCAGGGGGCTCCTTGGCCCACCATACACAGAGCATCCCTCATGCTGCCGTCTCCACATTGCATTTTGAACACATCCTCAGCCCTCCCCGTCCCCACAATAAACCATCAAGGCCAATTTAAACTATTTCTCTGATTTCATCCCCAATAGTAAACCTTTGAGCCTTCCAGGTATTACTCTGGGATCTCTTCACTTGTTTAGAATATATATTTTTTAATGGTATAATCAGGACAGATGGGAAAAGTGCTTACACCTGCATTTCACTTGGTTACTAGTGTGATCTTTGCTATGACGTATTGTAAATATGTTCCCTGGGTTGTGCGTGCTAGTCCCCATCCTCCTGGTCTGCCTTGAGACTGTACTGTCCAGAGCAAGGAAACCTCCTTTGAGCAGGAATTGTGATCATTCCCACTGATTCTAGATCTTTCCTGGTAGAACTTTAGTTCTCAGTAGATAGGAAATACTGTATGAGCACTTGGTCAGCATCCCAACTTCCCCAGATTGTCAGAATCTGTTGTCTAATGGGAAAGATTGGGAGAAATACATCATTTTTTCACTGTTAAAGTATTTTCATCTGATTTCACCTTTGGCTCTGTGATCTGACCCAGGTATACAGGTTGGAGGGTGCAATGTTTTGTAGACTGTGCTTTCTTCTGGTTTTTGAATTTTTTTTAGCCCTGTGTTCTCTCCCAAGTGAAGCTCAATCTTAATCGATTATCTCCTGCAGGTAATCCAGGGGACCACAACTTTACTGCCTCAGTGGGACAAATGTGTAAACTTTATTGAAAGCGCCCTACCTTACGTTGTTGGAAAAATGTTTGTGGATGAGCACTTCCAGGAAGATAAGAAAGAGATGGTAAGTCTTGCTTCCCAGTTGGTGAAGTTGAAGTCAACAGGCCAATGGTAGCCTTCTAGCTCTTTAAGGAATGACTCTAGATGACCGCTTTGCTTCAACGAGGAATTCCTGCAGTATAATATTAACTGAAAACTGAAGCATACACAAATTGTAGAAAGTAATCATGAAAATTAAGGAATCTTAGAAGTGAGCAAATGAACATGAAACCATGCCACATAAAGTCAGAATTTTTCCTGGAGAAGTCAAATGTGTAAAGTTAATGCTTAGGGAAAGAGAGGACCCTAGATTGTCTTATGATTGGGTATTGGAACTTTTGTAATTATAAAAGGTAGTGGGTTTCTATCAGGCCCCTTTATTTTAGAGACGAGGAAGCTGGAGACCCAGAGATGATGGGACCTGTAATGTGTTTAACAACTATTAACTGGCTCAGAAATGGAAATAAAATGCAACTTTCCTCTCCTCTTCTTACATCAAACTGTTTCCTAAAAACTTTAGAGGGCTGACATGCAACTGTAACAGAAAACTCTGTGGCTACTTTTTTCACAAACAAAAAACCCTTTGATTTTTGGAAATTTCTAAACATACATTAAAGTAGAAAGAGTAGTGTAACGAACAGCCATATACCTATTGTCTGTGGCTATTTTTAATTGTGATGGAATTAATGGCCCAGCCAGATACATCAACTAATAAAAGCTGAGATTTAGTTTCATTCATTTATTCAACAAATAATCATCGAACACCTATTATATGCCAAGATCTGTCGTAGGCCCTTGAGATATAGCAGAAAAGAAAACAAAGACCCCTGCCCTCACTGAATTCACATTCTAATGAGGGGAACAAGACAATACAAAATCAACCTAGTGTGTAATTTAACAAATGTGCTTTAAGACGATAAAGACTCTGGACAAAACAAAAGGGAGATCAGGGTCAAGAGCAATTGGGAGTGTTGAAGGGGTGTGTATGGGCATTGGGTTGTAGGATTACATAGGATGGTCAGGGAAAGCCTCTCTGTGAGGATGGCATTTGGTAAAGATATGAAGGAGGTGAGAGAATTAGATGTGGTGGCTATCTGAGAGTGTTCCAGGCAGAAGGAACAGTTAGTACAAAGGCCCTAAGGCAAGGATGTGCCTGGAATGGTCCAGGAATAGTAGGGGAGGTCACATGGCTGGAGCAGAATGAGTGAGGGGGAGAGGCAGTGAGGTCAGCGCAGTAACAGAGGACTCACTCACTGCCGTCAAGTTGATTCGACCCATAGCAACCCCTCCTTGGGTTTCCAAGGCGATATCACTTTGGAAGTAGATAGCCCAACCTTCCTTCTGACAAGTGGCTGGTGGGTTTGAACCGCCAGCCTTCTGGTTAGCAGTCAAATGCCTTATGCACTATGCTACTAGAGCTCCTAGTAATAGAGGGGTAGTAGGATTTTGTAAGGCCTTCTAGGGCATCGTAAGAATGCTAAGTCAGGTTGTTGAAAGGACAAGCTATTGCAGGGTTTTGAGCAGAGGCCAGGCATGATCTGACTTATGTTGAAGGGATCACCCTGGCTGCTGTGTTGAGAGACACTGTAGGGGGTGAAGGGTAAAAGCAGGAAGATCAATTAGTAGCCCATTTGGAGGGACCAGGCCAGAGATTATGGTGACTTGGATCAGGTGGTAGCAGTAGAAATCATGAGAAGTGGCTGCATTCTGAGTATGTTCTGAAGAATAGCACCAACATAATTTGCTGACAGACGGATGAGGGTTTTGAGAGTAAGAGAGCTTTTGAGTCTGAGTAAACAGAAGTATGTTTTAACCGAGCAGGGGAATACTATGGGAGAAGCAGTTTAGTTTTGGGCATGTTGAGTTTGAGATATTATTAGATTTCAAAGTGCAAATGTCCATGAGGCAGTTGGATATATGAGTCTGGAGTTCAGGAGCACCGTCAGGGCTGGAGATGGAAATGGAGAGTCCTCAGTGTATATAAAACTGGGCAAGGTCACTATGAGAGTGAATGTGGGGGAAGAGAAGGAGACCATGGACTAAGAACAAAGGCACTGGATTGGGGAGATGAGGAGGAACCAGCCAAGGAGACTGAGAAGTGATCGGTTAGGCTAGAGGAAAACCAAGAGAGTGTGGTGTTCTGGAAGCCAAGTGAGGAAAGCATATCAAGAGGAGGGGGTGATCACCTGTGCCAAATGCTGCTGAGGGGTCGGGTGAGATGAGGACTGACCATTACCATGGTGCTCATCAGTGATGGTGAGAACTGCTTTGGTGAAGTAAGGGGCAAAAGTTTGATTGGAAGAGGTTTGAGAGAGCATAGAAGGTAACTGGAAGCAGTCAGCAAAGAGTCCCCCCCCCCTTTTTTTTGTAATGAGTTTTGCTGTAAAAGAGAGCAGAGGAATGGGATGGTAGTTGGTTGGGGTCAAGAGAAGGTTTTTCTTAAGATGAGAGTAATAACATGTTTTGTATGCTGAGAGAAAGTAGGAAACATTGGTGCCTTAGGGAGAAAGTGGAGAACTGCTGGAGTGTGTCTTTGGGTTGGCCAAAGGGGAGTGGGCTCTAGTGCCTAAGTGGAGGGACTGGCTTTGGATAGAAGCATGGATGATTCATTTATGGCAACACGGTGAAGGCAAAGTTTGAGGGCACAGATGCTGATAGGTGGGTAGGCAGCAGTGGTGGTAGAGGTCTGTAGGAATCCTCTTCCGAGTTTTTCAATTTTTTCAGTGAAACCGGAAGAAAGGTCATCAAATGAGAGTGAGAATGGGAGAGCAGATGTTGGAAATTGGAGGACAGGAGACAAGGTGTAAAACAGTCGGCCAGGAATGTGGGAGAGTGAACAAATTGAGGAAATATAGTATGGCTTCCTTGAGGCAGTAATGGTCTAGGTGAGGCTCAAGGTCATGAGATACTAGTCATCAGAACAGTGTGTTTTCTCCATCTGTTTGAGCTACATTCAAGGAGATAGTGTATTTTGAATTAGAAATTTTGATTTAGCCGATTTTTTCTTCTTTGTGATGAACTATATTTTACAAATGGCATGAGGCAAATATCCTGGTGTGATTAAGTAATAACAATCCATGTAGTCAATCAGATATGAATATATTAGCAATTTGGATGCAGGTGGTCAATAAACATGGAATATAAAGGCAAAGGCATTAGGTCTGTTAAATCATGATAATCCACATGATTGCTATTATGTACTCGTGCATAATAATTCCAAAGGATTGGTGTTATATGCTTATACATAATACATAATTATTTATTATGTGCTGGAATTTGTTTTGGAATACCATAAGTCTAATTGTATTTGTATCTGTTAATTTCTTCTTCTTCTTCTTCATTTTAAACTGTCTTTTGATACTTTGGAGAATTTCTTACAAAGTTTCAGACTTTATATTAAACTTGAAAGTTCCTTTGCAAATAATTCAACTGAGGATTAATGCTGTATTTCCAAATTCCCAGTATCCGCATTGTGTCTTTTTCACTCCTTGGTCAGTAAATGCAAGGAAAACTGATCAGATAATCACAATGGTAACATTATCTGCTCTGCAGAAAAATATAAAACAAAGGGATAAATGAGGCTTTTTTTTTTTTCTTTTAATATAGCAGGAGGGTTGTTTTTTTTTTTTTTTTTTTGGCAGTAGAAGAATGTTAAGTAATATGAAAGTATGTGGGTTAAATTTGTTTTTCTTAGTTTTAGTGTGAAAGTCCATTTTTCATGTGTCAGGGTGTGACATTCTAAAATAAGTTGATTTTGGCATCCCCTCCCCCCTTATTTTGATGTACGTGGTGAGGAGAGTGATAGCTACACAGATGCTCATCTCTACATGGAATGTGCGCCTCCCTTTTGCTGACACTGTTTGCCTCAGGGAATACTTAAGTTGGAAACTTACAAGAGAGAACTATCCTGGCTTTTTATAGCCTTGTTACAGGGCTCCCATCCAAGAACCACCTGGAACCGCTGATTTACTTGAAAAACATTCTGTATTATTAGCTACAGCCCAAAGAAAAAGAAAAACAGAAAAATCCCTGAAGGGACACATTCCAACGGCTCTAACTCCAAGGAAAGGCTGCCATTGTTTCATCTACCAAAAAAGTTTGTTAAGCAAATGAGTACCGTCAGAAGGTTAAACTTCAGGTACTTCTCAAATTTTGATGTGCACCCGAATCACAGGAGGATCTTGTTGAAATGCAGATTCTGATTGGGTGTAGAGCAGGACCCAGGAATCTGCATGTCCAACAGGCTCCCAAGGAGCCCTGGTGACACAGTGGCTACGCGCTCGGCTACTAACCGAAAAGTCAGCGCTTTGAACCCACCAGCTGCTCCGTGGGAGAAAGATGTGGCAGTCTGCTTGCATAAAGATTACAGCCTTGGAAACCCTATGGGACAGTTCTCCTCTGTCCTACAGAGTTGCTATAAGTCGGAATTGACTGCATGGGAACTGGTTAACAGGCTCCCCCATGTGGTGGTGATACTGCTGATGTTGGTCCAGGGAGCTCCTTTGTGTAGCAAGAGCTTAGGGTCATTCGTTTGCATAGTTACCACCAAGAAAAACAAACAAAAACAAAAAACAAACCCTGGCCATTCTTGAGATCAGGTCAGGCTCCTTGACTTGGACAGCAATACTCCATTTACCAACACTGGTTGCATTAGTGCAAGTAACTGTTTACATTTTCAGATCATTGAAAATTTTTGTGATTCAGCTTGGCTTAAATGAACTGTGCCAAATCCTGTGTGAATGCCTCCTGGGTCATTTGTTTTGTTGAACTATTTAGTTTTCCTTTGAAAGCTGGGACACAGATTCCTCCATGGGATCCCCAGATTCTCCTCAGCATCCCTATGTAGAGGAGCTCTGTTTGCACAGTGCCTAAGGCATTTGACTGCTAACCAGAAGGTTGGTGGTTCAAACCCACCAGCCTCTCTGTGTGAGGAAGATGGGGCGATCTACTTCCGTAACTTCACACTCTAGTTCTATCGCATGGTGCTGCTTCAGACAAAGACACTTGTCCATAGAGTTCCACGGA